CACACAGCATGTTTGTCATAGGGGAATATTTGCTAGAGAGAGACACAGAGATGAAGGGAGTGATGGATAGAGAGAAAGTAAATTAATGTATGCAAAAAGAAGAGAGAGTGCCAGTGTTCGAGCCACAGGAGAGAGAGACACAGAGAATGCTAGTGGCGAAAGGAGAGTGTGAAACATGGAGGAATCAGAGAGAGAGTATTATTCATGTTTTCCCCCTCCACCTGTCTGTGACGCCAATCCTCCTAGGCAGCTACTGTAGGCGTCACTTTACCAGCTGTCCCCGAGTCCTCAGCAGGGCCTCCACAGACAGACAGAGAGGAGAGGAAAGTTAGCTCTAATATCATATTCATCAAGCTGTGAGCTCCTTAAGCGTTATCAGCCCCATTCCATGTCGCTGCTGCGTGTGTGTGTGTGTGTGTGTGTGTGTTGGGGGGGGGGTTCGCTACTGATTTGAGAGTAGATTTCATTAGCAGTGGGCTTGTCAAATAATCTGCCTCACGGCACTCCTTTGCCTTTTTGAATTAGCTGGCTTGCGTTCTCTCGGCACACAATGCTGCATTGATTTTCATACCCTGCCTTTTGACATTTAATTAGAGAAAAGTGTGTGTATGTGTGTGTTATGTGTGTGTGTATGTGTGTGTGTGTGTGTGTGTGTGTGTGTGTGTGTGTGTGTGTGTGTGTGTGTGTGTCTATCTGATGGCAAAAGAGGGAGAAAGATTCTGTTTTGCAATCCTCACCTCAGCATTCTCGTGGCCAGCAGGGTTGGAAAATTCATTTCCTATGAGTAAATAACTAATTTCTCTACAATGGGACAAAAAGACCCTTAGGTGTGATTATTTTACAGCGCCGGGCTGCTGAGGCAGAAATGGACCACAGAGAACACACAGGCTCTGCTCGACATGCAACACACAAAAGACCTCCTACACGCACAGACAGACGGTAGACACTCTAAATGAATTCCAAATTAAAATCTATAGGTGGACAAAACAGTTCCATTTATAAGCTGCACATCTTCCCACATTGTAAAGCAGCTGGTCAGCAACCAGTGTGTGAGTGGCATGAGGCTAATCAATAGCAGAATAGTACATGGGTGAGTCACAGCTAGGCTACCGTCTCCCCTTTTCACCCACCATCTCCTCCCTGCGCCCAGATTCCCATTGAAGTGTCAGTTACAGGCAGAGAGCTTTACACACCAGGCTATGGAGGAGCTGCCAAAAAGCCCCAGCGTAGTATCTGTAATGAAATATAGCGAGGAGCGTTGGAGAGACAGACAGAGATGAAAAGAAAGAGAGACAAAAACAGATAGACGGCGCGGGTCTGTGTGTGAGGGGGAGGTTTAGCACCAAGTGTCCATTACAGTCACAAAGATAGAAAGCAAAAGTGAATAGAGGAAGAAATACAAGAAATGTATGAGGTGGATTTCCTCAGACAAAGAGGTGGCGGATACGGATCCAACAGCTCTGGCAGTTGTATGAAACAAATGGCGGGACAAAGACGAGGAGGAAGAAAAGAGGATATCCATAGGGGAGCTCCCTTTTGTGGTTTACGTAACGTTTCAATATGGAAAAAGAAGTGGAACGGCCGTGAAACAGTCGGCAGTCTCTCATGAAAAACGCATTATGGGCAGTCAATTATAAGACGTGACACAGCAGCGTTACAGTGTGACTGTGGTACAACACATGCGTTAGATAGCACTAATAAATTATTCACCAGATGCTTTAGATTAAATGAGACACATTAACGCCTTGTGTTTACCTTCCCTCCAGAGCGTCACACTGTGTTCCTCCTAACTTTTGTGTATAAGTGTGTGTGTGTGCGTGTGT